TTGCTATTACTTATCGTTATCCTGTAATCAAGTGTCAAGTTAAACAATTAAATTTCACAATTAACAAATGCAACAACGCCTTTATATTTTGTCCTATATCTCGATAACTACTACAGTTAATTGCAAGTTAAAATGCGATTTTTAAAGACAAAACTATAGACTTTCCGATGAGTTTGCTTTTATAATGCTATTACTTATCGTTATCTTGTAATCAAGTGTCTAGTTAAACAAATAAATTTCACAATTAACAAATGCAATGCCTTTATATTTTATCCTATATCTCAATAACTACTACAGCTAATTGCAAGTTAAAATGCGGTTATTAAAGACAAAATTATAGATTTTCCGATGAGTTTACTTTTATATTGCAATTACTTATCGTTATCCTGTAATCAAGTGTCAAATTAAACAATTAAATTTCACAATTAACAAATGCAACGCCTTTATATTTTATGCTATATCTCGATAACTACTACAGTTAATTGCAGGTTAAAATGCGATTTTTAAAGACAAAACTATAGACTTTCCGATGTGTTAATTTTTATATTGTTATTCCTTATCGTTATCCTGTAATCAAGTGTCAAGTTAAACAATAAAATTTCACAATTAACAAATGCAACAACATCTTTATATTTTATCCTATATCTCGATAAGTACTAAAGCTAATTGCAAGCTGAAATACGATTTTTAAAGACAAAATTATAAACTTTCCGATGAGTTTACTTTTATATTGCTATTACTTATCGTTATCCTGTAATCAAGTGTCAAGTTAAACAATTAAATTTCACAATTAACAAATTCAACAACGCCTTTATATTTTATCCTATATCTCGATAACTACTACAGCTAATTGCTAGCCAAAATGCAATTTTTAAAGATATAACTATAGACATTCCGATAGGTTAACTTTTATATAGCTATTACTTATCATTATCCTGTAATCAAGTGTCAAGTTAAACAAATAAATTTCACAATTAACAAATGTAATGCCTTTATATTTTATCCTATATCTCGATAACCACTACAGCTAATTGCAAACTGAAATACGATTTTTAAAGACAAAACTATAGACTTTCCTATGTGTTAACTTATATATTGCTATTACTTATCGTTATCCTGTAATTAAGTGTCAAGTTAAACAATTAAATTTCAAAATTAACAAATGCAACGCCTTTATATTTTGTCCTATATCTCGATAACTACTATAGCTAATTGCAAGTTAAAATGCGATTTTTAAAGACAAAACTATAGACTTTCCGATGTGTTAACTTTTATATTGTTATTACTTATCGTTATCCTGTAATCAAGTGTCAAGTTAAACAATTAAATTTCACAATTAACAAATGCAATGCCTTTATATTTTATGCTATATCTCGATAACTACTACAGCTAATTGCAAGCTAAAATGCAATTTTTAAAGACAAAACTATAGACTTTTCGATGAGTATACTTTTATATAGCTATTACTTATCGTTGTCCTGTAATCAAGTGTCAAATTAAACAAATAAATTTCAAAATTAACAAATGCAACAACGCCTTTATATTTTATGCTATATCTCGAAAACTACTAAAGCTAATTGCAAGCTAAAATACGATTTTTAAAGAAAAAACTATAGACTTTCCGATGAGTTTACTTTTATATTGCTATTACTTATCGTTATCCTGTAATCAAATGTCAAGTTAAACAATTAAATTTCAAAATTAACAAATGCAACAACGCCTTTATATTTTATGCTATATCTCGATAACTACTAAAGCTAATTGCAAGCTAAAATACGATTTTTAAAGACAAAACTATAGACTTTCCGATGTATTTATTTTTATATTGCTATTACTTATGGTTATCTTGTAATCAAGTGTCAAGTTAAACAAATAAATTTCACAATTAACAAATGCAACAACGCTTTTATATTTTATCCTATATCTCTATAACTACTACAGCTAATTGCAAGTTAAAATGCGATTATTAAAGACAAAACTATAGACTTTCCGATGTGTTTACTTTCATATTGCTATTACTTATCGTTATCCTGGAATCAAGTGTCAAGTTAAACAATTAAATTTCAAAATTAACAAACGCAACACCTTTATATTTTATCATATATATCGATAACTACTACAGCTAATTGCAAGCTAAAATGCGGTTATTAAAGACAAAATTATAGATTTTCCGATGAGTTTACTTTTATATTGCAATTACTTATCGTTATCCTGTAATCAAGTGTCAAGTTAAACAATTAAATTTCAAAATTAACAAATGCAACAACGCCATTATATTTTATGCTATATCTCGATAACTACTACAGCTAATTGCTAGCCAAAATGCAATTTTTAAAGATAAAACTATAGACTTTCCGATGTGTTAACTTTTATACTGCTATTACTTATCGTTATCCTGTAATCAATTGAATAATTCGAATGCAATTATACGTACCATCGTGATAACTAGGTGGAAGAAGTCTTGCGTATGGAGACAGTGGGGTTCCCCAGGACGGATTGAAGATGTTGTTGCAGGATCCGTCGATGCGTCTGTACCTCTCCATAACAGGAGGACACCTCAATTGAGGACTGCACGCAGACCCCAAGGGCGTAGGTCTGAGATCCTCCCTGACCATGCCCCATTCCAGTTGCTGGTTCGTTAAGCCCTGTCTGAAAACGAAATCGAATTTGTTATTATGCAATTTTCCGGATCTTCTCTTCAAAACCCAACTTGTCTTTGAACGCCCTCGTCGCTAGCGCAATCTCCAGAGCCCTATTGGCGACGTTCATCACCTCCGACAGATCGGACATGCTGAAGACGCGCGTGTTCCTGAAGTGGCCGTAACTGGCCGAACCGACCGGAATGAATGCAGCTCTTCCCGACGACATCAATCGGGCCTCCTTCATGTGCAACTCGGCCATGTCCACGCGTCCCTGCTTGACGACGGCGCCCATTAAACGCGGATCTATATGATCGATGTATTTCCCACCGAGACGACCTTTCCTATGAACCAGACGCTCCGTGTGATTCTGCCCCGTCGAGCAGCACATTCCTCTTCCACCGCCGAGAGCCAAGCAATTCTTCATGGAATCCGCGTAGAAATGTGCCGGACATTGGATGGGAAGGACACACAGTGAGCCTTCGTCGCAGACGTCCATGTGCGGTTTGGCGTGGTGCTTCGACTTGGACACGTCGACGAAGGCGTTAATCGGATCCGCCAACTTCCTTCTGACGCGGACCCCGTCCAAAGGACACGCACATAATAACAGGACAAACGCACAACCGTGTTGCAGCAACATCCTTCAAAAGAATCAGTTCAATACAAATTACAACTTTCCAACACTCACCTAGACGAAACACGCTGAGAACTCGATGATTCCCAAAGGTCGTTTCACAGATATTGTTAAAAAAAAAATTTATCAACTCTTCAAGAAAAATGCGATGAAGAGTTTACAAATTCAAGCAAAGAACGCGTTTTATTTCAATCGAAAGAAATTGGAAAAAATGAACAGATATCTTCAGTAAAGATAAAAGCATTCTATAGGAAACATACATTCTATGTATTAATACTACATGAAAACAAAAAAGAAACGTTAATTATAATAACTATTTGATTGCATTTTAATTGAGATCATCACATCGCTTTATTTCAAAGCTCACTTGGATCAATTCTACATAAAATGCAATGCCTTTATAATCCATGATTTATCTTATTAATTGCTTCAGTTAGTTATAACTTACAATAACCTAATTAAAGTTAAAGCTATGCACTTGTTTATTAGACTACTTTGATATTTGTAGTAATTATCGTTATCCTGCAATCGAATCGCAAAGTTAAACAAATTAAATTTTATAGATGAAAAAAAGTTTTTACATTTCATTGTAAATCTCGATAATTACTTCAGCTAATTGTAAACTAAAGTAATCTAATTAAAGGTAAAACTATGATTTTTCCGATGAGCCTACTTTGTTATTTGTTCGTATCGTTTTTCTGCAAATCAAATGTCAAAGTTAAACCAATAAAATGTTATAGATGAAAATAAAAAATGCAATGTTTTTACATTTCATTGTAAATCTCGATAATTACTTAAGCTAATTATAAACTAAAGTAATCTAATTAAAGGCAAAACTACGATTTTTCCGATGAGTCTACTTTGTTGTTTCATTGTATCGTTTTTCTGTAATCGAATGTCAAAGTTAAACCAATAAAATTTTATACATGAAAATAAATAATGCAATGTTTTTACATTTTATTGTAAATCTTGATAATTACTTCAGTTAATTGTAAACTAAAGTAATCTAATTAAAGGTAAAACTATGATTTTTCCAATGAGTCTACTTTCTTGTTTCTTTGTATCGTTTTTCTGCAATCAAATGTCAAAGTTAAACCAAACAAATTTTATAAATGAAAATAAAAATGCAATGTTTTACATTTAATTGTAAATCTTGATAATTACTTCAGTTAATTGTAAACCAAAGTAATCTAATTAAAGGTAAAACTATGATGTTTCCGATGCTCCTACTTTGTTGTTTGTTCGTATGGTTTTTCTGCAATCAAATGTCAAAGTTAAACCAATTAAATTTTATAGATGAAAAAATAAAAATGCAATGTTTTTACATTTCATTGTATATTTCGATAATTACTTCAGCTAATTGTAAACTAAAGTAATC